AACGAATGGTATTCGGTATGATATTGTTTTAAAAAAATTTTATTATTTTTTTTATTTTGCAATTAGAACAAATTCTAAACCCAATGGTGAAAAAAATTATCAATTTAATGGATAATTTTCATAAAAACAAAATCAAGCGGATACCAAACTTTCAAGATTTTCCAAGTGGAAAATTATATCAATCAAACACAATTAATTACAATTCCCAATAAAACAAATTCTAAACAATTCAATTCCCAGTAAAACATTTTCTTTTCACATGTTTTCCACGTTTGCAATCAAACGGACCCTAAGTGCTTATTTGATACTCTTCAATTTATTTTATGGTTTTTTATATAACCATTTTCAACCACACATATACACAATAAAATATTAAAAATGTATATAAAAAAATTCATATTTTTTAACTACACGTACTTTTAAAAATCATTATTCAAAACTCTCTCTTTCTACCAAAATAGTTGTCAAACAGGCTATAAGTCGTGATCTAACTTGGAGGTAATTGTTTTAATAATTACCCAACTTATATTATGATCATGGGTTACTCGTTGAACTTAAGAATTCTTCATAGTGCTCTCCGAACTTCGTTCGTTTACACTTCATCCAGCATTCTCAAAAATCCATGACCTTATTTGTTGACGTAACTAATGGAAATTTGATGGGACAAGTTATTGCCGTTAAAAAAGATATAACTCAGTAAATCATTATTTTATTACTCATCCAACTTACACTTGTTCACAGTGTAATCATCAAAGTTCAGGATGATTCCCAATGGTCACTCATCCTTGAAAAGTTACACTCCATCCATCATCCGCTATATTTTCTTCACTTCGTTGCTAATATATCACACGAAAATTCCACGCCGCAAATTACAATCGTTAAAAAAATTATAATTCAACTAAACCATCAAATCACCAAAATCACATAAACTTCTTTAAAACCCAACAAAACATCCCCAATATATGCCCTAAAAAACTCTAGCCCCCAATTCACTCGTCTCACCCACGTACAATTAATTTGTGTAATAAGACATAGCTGATCGTTGCGAATGATGCAATAAGCTACTACTTATAAAGTTAAATCCCTCAATTGTACCATCAGCTTGACGTCTCTCTTATCCCAATCTTCCATTTTTGCTGGTGCGTATCCAACTATCTGAGGAAGGAAATGTTATCGAACTCTGACGATCGGTGTACGATGGAATACCTTTTAGGTTGGGTTCACATTCGTTGTTCTACGCTCATCAATTTAGCGGAAGTTCAACGACATTTCCTTCCTCAAAAAGCTGGATACACGTCTGCAAAAATGGAAGATTGGGATGAAAGAGACGTCGGGCAAATAGTACAATTGGGGGATAAGACTACAAGTAGTAACTCATTGCATCCTTCACAACAATAGGCTTTGTTTAATTACACAATTTAGTTGTACGAAGGTGAGACGAATAAATTGAGGGCTAGGATTTTTTAGGATTGAAATTGAGGGCGCTTTATATGGTTTTAAAAAAGTTTATGGCCTATGGAGATCGCGTTTTACGTATGACGATTTTGGTGAGTTGGTGTTTTGATTGAGTTGTAATTTTTTCAATGATTATAACTTGCCACGTAAAATTTTCGTGCGATACATTAGCAACAAAGGGAACGAAATATGGCGGATGATGGATGTAGTGCAACATTTCAAATATGAGTGATCATTGGGAAGTATTTTGAAATTTGATAAGTAAACTGTCATCAAATATAAGTGAGATGAGTAATAAAATAATGATTTGACTGAATTGCAATTTTTTTAACAGACTTGGCATTTTGAAGAGTGTAAATACACAAAGTTCAACGAACACTGCTCGAGCACTTCGAAGTTTAACAAGTAAATTGTGATCATGTATAAAAATTGGGAGATTAGGAGTCGTCATGCTTGTACGACAACAAAGGTGTGCTGAAGTCAAACAAAGAACAAACCAATTAATCATCCCATTGTTTTCTCGGTGTTCGGGAATTTCCTCCAAGTTTAAGCTCAATTAATACTTTATCATTCATTATTGATCTCACGCATTAATCTTAATTCATACATATATAGATACACGTGTGTATATATGTATATGCCGATATGTTGTC